AGCAATGGATTGCTATTAAAAGACGGCCGCTATTCATGTGTGCCTATTATGCTCTAACTATTATAACTATGACATCGTTGCACTTGGTATTTGCCCAGGATATAAGGCACATACCGGTTGGGGTATACAATAGCGATCTAACTGATGATCAAATATCATTATCCAATTTAATTCTTGATTCAATAAATCCCCAAAACATGCGAATATCTCATTACCCATCGCTCGATAGCGCCGTTCAGTCGGTAACAAATGGTGACAATTATTTGGTGTTTGAATTTCGGAACAACTTTTCCGACAGTTTTGAGACACGAGTGACTGATATGTTTGACGCCAGCAATGATGTCATCAAACAAAGCCTTATATATCTATATGCAGACCTTTCACGTAATTAAATTATTTTTAAATATAAATTTTAGTTAAAAAACAGTCAATTTACTATTTTTATTAAAACAGACCCACAAATGTACGCAATGATGGTTAGATACATATTCAATGGATTTAACATATTCACTGAAAAATTGGGTCAAATTGTAAACAATACAAATATCTACGACCAGATGAGTGCTATTAGGGTTATCGAAGTATTTAACGGCGATTTAAGCAAACCTTTGGCCACATTTATGTTTGTCGGACCACAATTGATGATATTTGTCGAGTTTAGTTTGGGTTTGATTGTATCGGCATTCGTCATGATAAGTGACAAATCGTCGCACATAATGAACCGGGTGTTCGCGGCCGGTGTCACTGAGTACGAGTATATGGGCGCCCATATACTCATCAACGTGATCATTAATTTAGTTCAGGTCATAAGTGCGATGATTGTTGTGTTTATCGTGTTTTTCGTTCAACATTCAGGAAGTTATTGGGAAATATTTCTATTTTTATTCATGGAAAATATGGCGGGCACTTTTATTGGTCTATTACTCGCGGTCATTTTCGGCGATCCCTTTTCCGTTATGGTAAGTATGTTACTACTAATTATAACTTTATATTTATTAATTAAATATTTATAATTATTATGTACTTACATGTATAGGTTTGCGTAATGGGAATTTTATTTCCTCTGCTATACATATCAGGTATCTTTTGGCCACTTGAGGCTATTCCACATATGTTTCGGTTTATAAACTATATAAATCCGGTGACATTTCCCATGCAATCCATCCGTAATATAATGGCCCGTGGTTGGACATACCAACACCCAGATGTTTACTATAGTTATTTGATGAATATTACAATTATTGTTGTTTCATTTCTCTTAAGTGTGGCATTATTTAAACGCAATTCTAATAAATATTTGTCTATTAATAAATGGTAAAAGGGCGCTGATATATACTTTACAAACATTTACATCGTTGAATACCTCCTGAACCACCTGTTTGATGTATATACTTAACCCCCCCCCCTCTATCGCTCCGGCCATATGCTATAGCCGCGCCAAATGACGTTTATTTAAATGTATTATAAAAATGATATATTTGTAAAATTTAATGTGGAAATTTAACAATTTTTAAACACGACAGCAATTTAGAAATATATTTTTACAAACAAAGAAACTTCATATTGATTTTTTTGTAGTTTAAACCTATAAAAATTTATAAAACTGGTAACTCAAAAGAGAATGACTAATCTGTTCGCGGCACAGTGCCTCCCTAGAAAGTGCTACGATAGGCATTTTCCACTAATTTGTAAATATTTAAATTTTTAAATATACACATTTATTTGATTTTGTAATGATACAATTATATTTGTAATAAAAATTGTAAAATAAAAATATTTAAAATTTTTTATTAAATTAAAAATTTAGATTAAAATTTTTTTAATACAAATATAAATGTATTATTACAAAATCAAATAAATGTCGTTTGAAACAATTGGCTAAAAATTCACTGTGACAACTTTTGCTATATTGAATATAAGACTGAAATCAAATGAAATTAATTGCTAACGTAAGTACGAAATAAATTAATGTTTTTATACAATTAATGTAAGTGTAGATTAATTATAATTTTAAACTTATAAACTTTAAATGTGACAAATATAATAAATTATTTTAAACTAAAGTTTTGTTATTATTCTTGAGGTTCAATAACCAATATAAATGTAAATATTGAATCAAATCAAATAGAATTTTAAATGCCTATATTTGTGATCAATTTACAAAATTATTTATTAAATCATGATGAGTTTTGACGCTTATAACAAATAGCAGAATTAAACATGTTTATAATATTATCATTTAATAGTAAGATTTAAAACCTTAAAATCATTTCCATTTGAATAATTTTCTGTCTAGATTATATTTTAGACAACTTGTTTTTGCACTTAATAGAGCAAAATAGTGGAAAATTTTATTAAAATATTATTAAATGTAAAATTGTTACAAAGATGCTAAAAATAATTAAAATAAAAAATCTAAAATACTTTCAAGAAAATGTAAAGTTTGTCCAAAACGCTGTAAATGATTTAAATAAATCTCAGTATTTTTATAATTTTACTATTTCTTGTTAATATGAGTTAATACTTTGATTATATAATTACTTAAATTACAATCAAATTACATGAGATTTATATATAATTAATCAAATAAATCTATTTATGTATTATCAATATTATGATATTTATCTATGTTTTAACTAAATAAATTAAAATTATATTATACTTAATATAAACTATATTATCGGATTAAATATTGATCTGGTTGACTAAAAGCTAATCTATAATATATTTTACTTTATGTAGTATTAGTTATTTGATTATAACTAATTGAATAAAGACACACTTAATTCGAAATAAAAAATATACATCATTTATTATGATTAGTACAATATTAAACACTTCCCCTATTCATAACACATACGTCTGTACGGGTACTCCGAATTAAACCGAGAATATGGTAGATCTGTACGGCGCCAGTTGCGATTGAGCCTGCTAATTCGTTTCATCTCGTTTTCCTCTAGCTTAAAATCAAACACATCAATATTCTCTTTGAGTCGCGATTTGTGTATAGTGCCCGGTATGACAGCGATACCACGTTGCAATAGCCACCTAATAATGACCTGGGGCACCGACTTGTGATACTTGAAAGCCAACTTTTTGAGCACCGGTTCGTTTAGTAGAGTTTGGTTACCCTTAGAGAAGGGACTGTAAGCCTGGACTTGAATACCACTCTTTTGACAGAATCGTACCAAACATTCTTCCGTTAGATATGGGTTTATTTCGAGCTGAAAATTTAGGTAAGTTAGTTTTATTAAATATGCTTGTCCATAAATATAACATTTTTCATAATAATCAATACCAATGGATTTAGATAAATCCATAAATTTATCATATTACCGTACAATTTTTAATTAAATTAATTTAAATAAACCAGAGAGTTTACAGTTTCTTAAAGTTTTTACACATATATTTTGTTGAATCAATAAATATGTTTAGACTTATTCTCAATTAATTAATTTAGTTAGGACGCATTTTAGCATTTATATTTTCTAAATAAAAACTATTATAGAGCCAAATTTATCAACTTAAAATAATTCATATCAAACCTGATTAACCATCGGTCGGACAGCCGCGTGAATCAAAATTCTCGTCAATTGATCTACATTAAAATTGCTCACACCAATCGATCTGACCATGCCCATTCTTTTAGCATCTTCCATACCTTTCCAAGTGTCGACCACCGATATATTCGTATCCTTTGTAAGGCCATTAGCATCCAGGGGTATATCCATACCGCCCTCCTGCCAGGCCATTGGAAAATGTACCAGGTACAAATCCAAATAACCAATATTAAGCTTACGGGTCGACTCAACAAGGCCCTCGATCACTTCAAACCTGCTATGTCGGGTATTCCACAATTTACTAGTCACAAACATTTCTGACCGTTTGACCCGATGATCAGGGTGATCTTTGCGCTTGAAAATTTCCCGTAACTTTTCACCGAGAATTGCCTCGTTTTTATAGAAGTAGGCCGTGTCGATGTGCCGGTACCCCACGTGCACTCCGTCCTCGATCACGTTGCGCAATGTGTTGCGGTCTACGATGCCCAGTGTGCCCAAACCGATCATGGGCATCTGGTGCGAGTCGTTTAGTTTTAGGTAGGGCATTTTTATCTCTGCAGAAAAATTATACATGTTTATTAGATTATTTGTTTAACAAGTTGTAGTTACTTAAGTGTTGTAAATAAATTAATTTATTGTAATATTTTTATATTTAATTTGTAAGTAACAAACAAACTATTATATTAAATTAGAGAGAGAG